TCACGCACCTTCGGCTCTTGTGTGTGCCCTCCTCACGTTGTTTGGTTGACATACAAATGAAAATGGCGTTTGCATAGATGCCTTACCCAATCTGACGCACATTAATCCAATATAGCTCCACCAGATCCAGATTTCATGACTTATTGCACCGTGCTCTTGCTCCTAGATGCCTATATGAACTATGTAAGCCGATATGTATGACGCTGAACATATATTACCTTATCTGAATAAAGCTAGGCATTTCAAAAGCCTCATATTTTGGATTTATAATATATGCCTGTCATGAGTTAGAAAAGATTATGCACCTTCATTGTAACCAGTCTCATGAACTTTGGCTTAGATACGTTCTTCGGTGTACACCGGACTTTTGCAATGACTGGTAGTAGACACTGCGCTTAATATATACGCTGTCACAGCCTTCAGACAATAGTAGATAGCGAATGGTCACTATCGATGATGTGTAGCAAAGCGACTATGTCAAGGCAGTTCGAAAAGACGTAACAGGCTCATGAAGGTGCTAGATAAAAAGAGTTAGAAACCCAGTGTCCTTTTTTCAGCAAAAATCAATAACGTGTAGAGGAGATACCGCAGTTACGGGTAACAAAAATCAGCAAATTAATGATTAAAGCATTACAATGAGCTGTAATTATTTACCTGCTGAGTTTTATTATCCGTGACTGCGGCATCTCCTCTACACATTATTAATTTTTCTGAAAAAGGGACCCCGTTGGGGGTTCCGCAATCTTCACTTAATAAACTTATTTCTAGACTTCTAATTGAATCCTTATTAATTTATGATCAAACATTCACAATTTACTTGAAGCTTCTTTATGTTACAGACTTACTTTAATTCATGTACATGCTTTAGCTGTAACGTTTTGTAGTTAATTTTGGTATTCCAGAAAGCTGTAGTAGCTTCAGTCTATTTTTTATGCCGTTACGTGTTCACATTATCGAGAGCGCAGGCAAGAATGCACCTGTGAATGTGATTTGCCGATGGATAACATTTTGGAACGTCACGGAATTAGCTAAGATTAAGTAGCCGCTAAAAACACTGTGTAACATAAGTCGCAGCCAGTGCCAGTTACTGAGTCTCTGCTGACAAAAGTGAGGAAACACAGAAACACTTTGGAAGGTCATAAATTTGGTTTACCAGTTTCTTGAGGAATAAGCAACTCATTTTTAAAATTTATTTTGGAAGAGGGGAGTCTTTTTCATCAAACGGCGCTAACAAGTGGCGAATTGTGCTTGTGATTACCGTAGAATTGAGGAAAACAGTGATCACACTGAAAAGGTTGTGGGTTCTAGTTGACTTAGGGCGAGGCGTGGCAACATCACCAATCCGACCATAATCACTCGCTACGTCAAGAAAGGCACGAGACCGCAAGTCCGTTTTGCTCATTACAAGACTGCAGAGGTTCGTGAAATTCCTCTGCTTCCTTGATCCTTCAGTTTTGGATGCCGTTTACCCGTTATTGGACGACGTGCTAGAGTACCAGGTGAGGTACTAGTACTTTGAGATCTCAGTAAAAGTCATGATTGCATGAAGCAAAACTGTAAAATGATTATATCAGGTTATATATCCAGATTCTTAGAAACTACCCTTATCTGCGAGTCACGGATATTGACACCAATTAAAACCAGCTATTTAAAAATGCGGCGTGGGAGAGCACGATCTTAGTTTTCTACGTTGTACCACGAAAGATGCCCATACCATTAAATCTGTGACCATTCATATACGAAAGTGAATAAGCAATGGCATCGAATCCAATCACAGTGCATGAACGCAGAAGGTAAGTGATGGTATAAAATAGGAGTTGCTGGGAGGAAAATAATTTGATAAACAGTAGACCATTACTGTGAGTACATATTGATGATACAGAATGTATCCCACTTTGCCCTCAATGAAACTTAATGTTAACCGATGATCCCACGCCTTAAATCGTTCAGCTATGGCAGGTCGTAGAGAAAACGAAATGAGATTTGTAGCTGATGGGATGCTGGTGGGATTCACAGGTTGATTATAGATGGTATTTCTAGTACTCCATTTATGCGACTTGCGGTTCAGCGTTATTTCAGTCACGATGCCATCAGCAGTGAGTGTCATTTTTTGTTTGAAGGTAGTGTAACTGCGGTGCAGAATCAAGGGGCACAAACGTAATTGCCTACAGGGAAAAAAACGAAAGGCAAACAGTGCCACGTGGAATCCGACCTGAAAACAAACTGCCTTACCCACAATTCGTAAGACCCATTTATCAAACACCATGTACGTACGACACCTCATTTAGTAAAACGTTTCATGAAACAATAAATAACCCAAGATTCTTGCGAAGCGATTCCATGACAACAACTGTCCTCTCAGTATATGAACTCACTTCAGTTTTCACTCTCAAATTAGTATTTCCCAACATGCAGTTTCTACTGCATTGCAGAGATATGTTGAATGATAATAACGATGAAGTAATGTACCTCTTTTTGTTATTGCATCACTTTTAAATACCGTAACAACGTTAATTTGCAAGAAAGATTTTTCTGCTCTTTTACAGCTTCCTTCATGGCCCGATTATAAGTCATTACAGTGAATTATAGATTAAATAACACCCTGTAGTTTTCACATATCTTCACCCTAATTTACAATCGATAAACTTCTGAAATCAAACAAACTTACCTCACATCGTCCAGCTCATAAAAAAGCTCAGTGTTGGCCGGATCCTGAATATAAACCTTAATATGCGATGAATTCAGGTACTCTGGAGTGATCGACTCATAAAAGGTATTCAGAAACAAGCTGCGAATATCGTTCAGCGATTTCAGGCCTCCGACCGGAACAACCGCCCGTTTGGTTTCGTTTTTATACTGCAAAAACACCAGATCTAAAAACAAACAGATTAAGCTAATGAAACTACAGAACTCAAAGTTCAGTCGTATACGCCAATAATGGCCTTCGTCTTCATCGATTCGCATTTTCAATGTGGCAGACCTACAGCACAGAAGAAGGTAGCGCTTGACTCTTGACGCCGTTTTAATGCACAATGCTTTCTAGCCACTCGCCGAGTTTCTAATGGGTCGTAGTTCGCCTTAACCGACAGCTACAGTTGTGGCCATTCATCAGTAGACGTAGCAGTGGTCAGTTGTTCAAAAGGCAGACTCGCTTTTGTCGCATAAAAAGCTTCAACCATGCGGTGGTGTGCAGGTCAATCAACCAACGTTTCTCGATAACTTGCTGGTCATCCAGGATAACCGGAACCACGTTTGGCCATTCGTGTTTTGGATGGTGTGATAAATTATCCAGCTGTTGCAGACAATTATTCAGGTGGCGCATATGCTGATGATCAAAAAGAACGGGAGGTGGTTTACTTAGACCAATGAATGAATGAGAAGCTGTTGGACTTTACCACGTAAAATACAACTTGCAAGCATGCGTAATCCATATGTCACCTACTGTAACAAATCGGAAAAAATATGAATGAATCAAGAAATGCATTACTTTACACCGCTGTCAGTGTTCGAAACAATCAAACGAGGCAATTCGTCAATGTTACATGATCTAGGCTGTCTTTGGAGAGTGAACGCAAGGACATCATGACAAGAAAATCTCTTTACACAGCAGCTCATGCTTTAATGATTAAATCAACATTCCGTATCTGATAATGAAAGACTCTTCCAAGATGAGATTTTACATCGAGAAAGGAGGCAGCTGATGCACCAGTCAAATCTGGTCATGGGAAGTCATTCGTTATTTGGCGTATGACCAGCTTATGATGATTTTATGACGTTTCTGAATCTGGTCTAATTCGAGAATTTCGTGCAATGTTGGCATGGTGTTGGATATCAGATAAACGAAGGTGCATCTTCATCTTCCGTAACCGCTTTACCTTTCGGGTCGCAAAGATAGATGCGTCAGAGAGTACTTCCAACGTTCCCGATCCTGTGCCAGAGTCTGAGTTTTGGCAGAAGACAACAAGAGTCTACAGCAGGCACTTTCAATACTCTTGCTCCAACAAATCTCGACTGCGCCCTGAGCTTTCTGCCAGTTCGCTTTACTTTCTGGAGGCATTCGCAACACGTGTCCAAACCATTCCATTTGTGACGTCTCAATCTGAAGAGTCATCAACTGTACACCAACTCTGTCACGGAGTTTTGCACTCCAGACCATGTCGAGACAGTAAGGCCAGGGATTCGTCTCAGGAAGCCCATTTCAACCACCAGTACCCGGGATCGAAATTTTTCAGTCTTAGTCCGCGAGGCGCATTTAAAATGAGTAATCTAATTCGCATTGAAGAATATAACCGCGCATTTTCTGAACCTTGGCAGGGTCACACCAGAACAGGATCATTTCTCAAATTTTAGAACGTTATCGACCTTGCTTTCATTTCTGAGTTACGCTACGTTACATCACCGGCAAGTGAATCCATTGCATGGTGAAATAAGCAGCAATTAACAAACGTCTACACACACAGAGACGTATCAAGTAGGATAACCTGCACATACTGCGCACAGTATGTATATTGGAAGATAGTGCTGTGACCTTACATGCTCTTATAGGCAAGGATTAAGGCTTCGACAGATCGCTTAAGTAAACCTGCCTTTTCATGTTACCTTTCTTTCCTATAGTCGAACAAGTTGCTTTTACTCGCATGGTTCGCGTGACTCAAAAGTTGACGTTTAATATGTTATATATCAATATTATACGTAGCTTAATCAGGTTTTTCTTGGTGCAACTACCCCAAATTCTGATCGGTCAATTTGAAGTCAAAGTGGCTGTAGTTCCTCTGTATAGAGCCGATTCAGTTCAATAAAACATATTTCATTATATTAACCAGGGGTAACGATATTGACCGCGGTTCACCAGGGACAAAGACATTGTTCAGTCATTCGAGGTTCGGACGTAGAACCGGAAGGTCATGGGTTCTACCTTGAGTCCAGTCATTTGCATTTCATCTTCCTGAGATTCATAAGTGAGTATCACTCTGTGGAAAGGAAACAAGAAACTATACACAATATTTGCCGGATGTCCACTGTCAACTCTATCTTTAAAATAACTCACTCCTGCCTGAAGGAATACAAATGGTGATCAGCGCGCCAGTGTTGACTCAAAGGAAAAAAGAACGCCAGAAATGGCTCATCTCCATAAAGCTCCGCGGAAGACCGACATTGAAGCGACTAAAAGCATACCCTTTTTTCACTATATTAATTCTCAACGCTGCAGGATCATGTAGGGAACGACTCTATGTTATTCCCAGAACGGGTGTGCATCGTCGATCGAAAGACAAACGAAAGGATGTTGACCCTGTTGTACAAACTGGTTTGGTACAAATCATCCACTCCAACAAATAAGTTTATGTTGCAGCTGAAACATGGCAAACATCAACCAAGAAGCCAGAATACAACAAGGAGGAAGAGGTTAAGGTAGATAGGTACAGAGGAATATCAATCACTCAGTTTCTGATCACGTGTACTGTCGGGTTACTGAGGGAGATGCGTCGGACTGTGTTTGATTCTGTACCAGCGTATGAGCATCGGTATAAGATGATCCAGTGTTCGGACAGTCAGTCAGGCAAGTAATGGTTGTTTCGCCTTCCTTACTTTTTTTGGCATGATGAGCCCAAACCATTCCGGCTGTGACTTCTCAATCTGAAGAAGCAGTGGCTTTACACCAAGGCTCT